CTGGGCCCTTTGCATACCTGGCTCTGGACCCATTTGGAGTTATATTCCTTACAAATACTAGTTACATATCAATTTTAAATCACATAGAGCAATCCAATGGTGATGCACAAACTGTGTACCATGGCACACAACTATGGAAATTAGCTTTTGTTTTCCTTGTTCTGATGTTTAGCCTGGAGTGTAGCTAGATATTAATTCAGTTGTAGAAGTGAAACAGAAAAGAGAAATAACCTAGCTGAAGGTATGACAGAATCAAAATTCAGCCCTTCCTTTCTCCATAGCTTTTCTGCAATCCTGAAGACAAAGGCCAAAAACTTAACACAGCCAGCAACACAAATTAATTAATTTCTAAGTATGTGATTATAGCAGAAGCCAAGAAGTGTCCCCACCTCTCTCAATCATTTACTATGCTACAAGATATTTCAAATAGTTACACACTGCAAATTCTCAAATCACAAATTTGAGGAAACCTCACAAATAGATCCTTTCTCTATGTATGGGGACACGGACACTACAGAGAAAAAAATAATTGTTCACTGAAATTTCTTTCTTTCAAGAATACAAAAAATGAGATATTACATGGTGGCTATATGAATGCTTTGAGACATTTTCAATCTCTCCCTTAACTCCTCCTGTTAGAGCTTACACTTACACTTCAGTCTCATTTAGAATACCTAGCCGTGGAAGTTGCAAACCATTCAGACAATGAGAAAGTCCAGAGGCACATGGGGAGATAGACACAGTGCCTTCTCTAACAAAGAATCCTCATACAGAAGAAAATGGATCTCATTTGTATGAGATCTGCATTTAGGAAGAATCATATCTTTATTCCTGTCAAGGTAAATTAGGATTTGTGTTGGTTAAACAGATGGCACTATAGAAACATACTGTGAGAAGTGACTATTGCCAGATACTTTAATTTTTACATTTTAGAGTACAAAATCATAGAATGGTTTGGGTTGGAAGGGACCTTAAAGATCATCATTCCAACCTTCTGCCATGTGCAGGGACACCTTCCGCAGATTGCTCAGAGCCTCATCCAGCCTGGCCTTGAACAATTCCAGGGATGTGAAATTGTGTTCATCCACAACTTCCCTGGGCAACCTGTGCCAGTGCCTCACCATCCTCGCAGTAAAGAACTTCCTCCTAGTATCTAACCTTTACACATTCTCCTTCAGCTTTAAGCCATTCCCCTTTGTCCTACTACTACAACATAGCCTTTCTCTCCAGCCTCCTTTTTGGTCCCCTTCAGGCACTGGAAGGCTGCTCTAAGGTTTCCCCAGAGCCTCCTCTTCTCCACATCGAATCACCCCAACTTGGTCCTTCTTCACAGGAAAGGTGCTCCAGCCCCCAGATTATCTTTGCAGCTCTCAGTTATGCCCCTGTCCCCTCAGCAGGTTTAGGGGAATGTGGTTTAATTCACTCTGGGCAATGTGGCAAATTTTAAAATACCAACAAACTAAGTAAGGCACTTCACAAACTTGAACTTAGCAAACTTACAATCACCCAACTCCAACCTATCCAGACACAACAAGGCACTTCCTGAGGCATTGACTGGAATTCTTTAGTCTGGTTTACAACATGTTTTGAGAAAAAAATAGAAGAAAGAGGGAAAGAAAGAGAAAGAAAGGATAATGGTAGAAAAACATCAGCACCTGTGGATCCATCAATGAAACTTCAATGTTGCAATTTTGATGTCCATTGGTCAAAGTGATGGCCAGTCTTCATTGATCTGCGGTAGGGGAAGACCACAAAACACAAATTTCAGTGGATTAATATACACTCAAGTTCAGGTGGAACACCCAGGTACTTTCCCTGGGGTGGGGACTTTCACACTGTCTAGTGCAATGCTGTGAATCATTGTGTAAAACTGTGGATTATGCCCATTCCTCTGCTGGAAGGCCGCAGAAATTACTCTGGGGACATTCTGGGGGTCTCTGATAGTTTACAACACCTTCTCTCACATCAGTGTAATAGAGTCATTTACATTCTATCAGAAGGAATGACAGTACTAGAATTAAAAGCATTTTCCCATCTTGCAGGATCTGCTTATCAGCCTCCTCCCTTATCTAGCTGAAATCCCAGCTTCTTGGTCAGCAAAGGTTGATTTGTCGTGGTCATCTGGTGCTCACACCCCTGCACACAGGTTGCTTCTTGAGCATTGACAGCAAAACTCGCAGATTGTTTGAGACATTAACCATTAATGTTTCAGTGTCTCACACCCTCCTGTGGACCTGCTAGTGCACAATAAAGATTTTTGGAAGGGCCAAACATTTAAACAAGTTCGAACCACCGTACAACTTTGTTTATTTCATATGTAATGAACGTGTACATAAACACACACACACACACACACAGACATACTCACGTGTTTCTATATAGATACATATATAGATACATATATATATACGTGTTTCTATATACATACAAATTTTTTATATATGTATGAATACAAAAGGTGCATTGTTTCAGGGCCTCACCCTTGTGTCACGGTACGCAAGGACCGTAAAGAGCCCATTAATTTCACATGCACAGATGTCAGCTCTGCTGCCCGAGGGACGGGCTGCCTGACTCAGCATCGGGGGCGCGGCACGGACCAAAGCACTGAGCTCATTTTTTGGGAGAGTTTGCCATCTAGAGGCCATATCAGGCAGCACCGGGAGAGGAAACCACCTTAACAAAACAAAAACCAGATTAAGTGGATTTTCTGGATGTCCGTAGGCATATTTTGTTCTAAAGAGGACTGCCTTTAATATCTTTAATGTTTAGCTTTGTTAGCAGTAACATCTGAAAGTGTTGAGCTTTTCCCCAAATCAGAATCAGTTCTTCACTCAGTGTAATGAGCTTGGTTATAGTGAAAGGAAATTTAAAAAATATTCATAAAATATAAACAAAATAATTAATCTTAATCTTTTTACTGCAATAAAGACGTTTTCAGAGAACACCTCCTGCTGGTGCAAGAAAGATCAAATAAGTAGTAAAAACAAGTATGATCATCGCAGACAGAATTCAGCATTTGTGTCAGCAAAAGGCAAAAATTTATTTTCTTTGAAGTATCATCCTTTTTGTTGTCCTTACAAATATCTATCAATCTACATGAATTTTTATTTCTGAAAAATGTTGACCGGTATTACTGACTGGGGGTTTATGTGCAAATTGCAAACGGGACGGGACTGCTGAGGAACGTGCCTTGAGCTGTTTTGTTTTTCAGTATCAGTCTCATTACATGGTTATAACAATGGGAAGATGCCATCAGCTCACATCCCAGGCAACAGACCAAGAACTTAATGTTACAACATACTTTATAAGGTTTTTGACCAATCACACAAAGCAAAAGCACATTGACAGTAGTTCTATCCAACCACTGTAAGCACACGTACCTTTGGTTAAATCAATGCCTGCTTGTTTTGAATACAATACCTGCTTGTAAGCCTTAAAACACAATGCAAGAGCTCCATTATTAAGCTTAAAACTTCCTAATATCTTGCTAGATAAACTTTTCTGTAGCTTAGGGAGTTATTCTAGACAGGGGTTAACACACAGACCATTGTTCTATTTGTCTTTGCTTCTCTACTTTGTGAATAATTTTTCTGCTGATCTATCTCATGGCTAGTGCTTAGCTCCAGTCACATTTCTGCTGTTTCTGAGGCCTGCCTTTTGCAGCTTTCCCCAAACCCTCTGATTTTGTGGATTTCCACAGACTGGTATTTCCATTTTCATTTGTTTATGTCAAATTAGAGAAGAAAATAATTTTGGAATGAAAATATAATCTTAATCTTTAAAGACATTTTAATGGTATTTGGCAAACTTTCCAGCAAAGTTTTAAGAAAGACAGCAATGTTATAGTTTCAGGAGCATTTGTGCATAAATCCGTCTCCAGGTGGATTTAAGGATTTCATTTTGCCCTCTCTTTTCAGATGAAGTAGATAGTAATTTGGTTATGCCATGCTCTTGCTTACTCCGGCATCAAGAGAAGATGTCTTTTTGTACCCAGCTGCCCAGGAGATACAGAAAATTTCAAGTGCAGTAAAGCAAGATATTTGAGAAAAACACAGTACTGTGTTTTTCTGGAAAATTCCCTCTATTTGAGGCATATTTTCTACATGAATTAGCTGATGCTCCCTGCATTTTCACTATGACAAAAGATCAAGTGTTAAAGATCAGCGCCAAGATCAGACTTGCAACAATGGGTGTTTGGCAATGTGGAAATGAAGACAGTGGGGAAAATTTTCAGAGATCTTTGGCCTCCTGAAGCTCTTTTCACTAAACTGCAATACACATTTTGATGAAATTAAGTTCAAATATATATTGCTGGAATTACTGAACAAAATTAGAGCACAGTTTCTACATGTCTTGATGGATTTATCTTCCCTAATTTTTGTTGTCATTGTTGTATTGGCATTGGAGCCTATGTAAATGTTTAGCTCACGTAAAACCTGAGGCAAACAGTTCCAACAGTTCCATTTCATTTGCGTGTGGGGGCATCCTTTTGCTTACTTGAATGTATCACCAAACAATTTCATATGATGGCCCTTATTTCTTGTATTGATCAACCATTCCTAAAGCTGCGGCAGTTTTTCATACAGGGACAGTTCCCAGTCTTAATTTACAGGTGTAGGTGGAGTATGTTTGCATCATTTTCTCTAATTCCAATAAAAATTCCCTCAAGCCCCTGTGTTCACCAGGCTCAACTGAGCAAAAGCTTAGAGATGTCTTCCTTTTTTCAGAGACCCCAAATAGCAAACTCCATAAATTAGAAGATACATGATGACATCCTAGGAAAACACAGGACTGACATGCAGAAAACCTCTGTTTCATGCTTGATTTAAGTGAACTTAGTCCAAATAGATCTTTATTATGATTCCCCACACAATACGGGTCAGATAATGATATCTGTTGTAAAACAACTTGACATCCATAAATGAGACATATATAACAGCTGAACATTATTTACACATGAACTCAGAAACTTGTGTCTTTTTTTTTTCTAAAAGACACAAGGTAGGTTCGTCCAGAGGAATTCAAACACTAAGATCAAAAATCTGAAGCAGCAGCAATTATTCATCAGTAGTGCCATAGAAATCTTGGTGGAAATAACTGGTTAAAACTGTACACTACTTCCCCAAGGCAAGTAAGAACTTGCACCTACTTGCTAGCTGAGAAAGAACTGGATCTACTAGTGAAAAAAACCGTAATAGAAAAAACTTTATTTTGTTGAATTTTTAAAATGCATTGCACACATTTTGCTCCAGTATGCTCAGAGGTAAGTACAGTTTTTCCTGTATTACTCCTCACAGAATATTTTTATTCTCTAATAATTCATTTTTTCTAACATAAAAGCATATAGTTTTATGTAGCATATATCATAAAGTTGGGCTTTACAGAGAAGCTAAAATGAATTATTTCCTTTGTAAATCCTACTTCTACTGTTCTGATTAGTACAATCAGGTGTTACTTGGCTGCTTTTTGTTCTTTCAAAATTGTACAGATGTGTATTAGTCATAACAAAGACATCCTCTCTCTACAGAGCCTGTACATGTGTTCACTGCCAATGCATTTAAAGGAAAATAATTTTGAGCTTTGCATTGATTTGCAGCAATTTTTCTCTTCAGGAATCAAATACCAGGCTGCTTTCTAATAGGAATTTAATTAATTCCTCTTGTTCAACAATTAATTAGTTCATGGTTTCTGTGCATGTATTGAACATGCATATTGACAGTTCTTTATGAGAAGAGGAAAGACATGAGGAAACAGCACACAATTTAGTCACACTTTGCAAATATAAATCTTAGCAATATCCTACAGTTCATGAGGGAACTCCACTCTTCTACCACTTTCTTCTTCTCATTTAATTTTTCCAGTACAGCATCCATTAAGTATGAGGCAAAAGGAAACTGAGGAAGAAACAGAGTAGGAAAAATGATCATTAAACTTTATTTTTTTCTTGTGAAATACATTTATTAAATATCTTTAAACTATCAGATTTCACTTAGTTCTGACAACTACCACACACACATTTCTGATCTTTAAAGTTCATCTGCCTGGTTAGTGTCTGAAAATTTGCTCTCTATCATAAAAATGATAAAAGAGCAGTGTAAAATGAAAAAAGATAAACTCCTTATTGAACAATTCATGCTTTACTGACCATGTTAATGATGTAAACTGCAGCACCAGCATCTCTGTCATTTATCTTCAATCAGCTGATCAATAAAAGGTTACAGTCACCTCTAGGGCATGCAGAAATGGTAGTGTATGAGTGTCAGTTCACTACTCTCAGGAGGATGAGACAGAACTACCAGTATAATTCTCAATGCTATAGCAAATTGCCTTAGACTCACACACAAAACCATGTAAATAATTAAACAACAACAACAAACAACAACAAAAAACCCCAAAAAACCAAGAACAAAACCCCAAAACAAAACAAACAAAACCACAAAAAAATCTCTCAAAGCAAAGTAAAATCCCAAACCTCCAACTGCATTAATTGGAATATGACACAAATGTCTGCTTCTCTAAAATATGATACCAAAAAATTGTAGTGACGTATGTACAGAGAAAAAATAAAACCTCTTTTAACTTCTCTGATATAAAAGATGCATTTGCACAAGCAATGCCTTCAAAGGAGATTTGGTATATTTTTCAGTGTCATCACTAACGCTTAAAGAGATTTTCTTTCAAAGTCTTGGTATATCAGTGCACTGTTTGCTGGGAAGCATTTTTAGAGGTGGTACAGAAGAGTGGTCATGGCAGCTCCATCCTGAGCGGCCAGTGCTGTGCCAGAGGAGAACAGGACAGTTTCCCTACACTGTTGAAAAGACTCTATCAGCTTCACAGAACTCTGTCAGCTTCCTGGAACCAGTGAGACAGTGGTAAGTGAGGGGTCAGTACCACACCAAAAGTTACAGCTCATTCAGGAGGAGAGATAATTTTACATTATAAAGCCACCAGAAATGAATAAGGTAAAATATCGTTGCTGGTGAAACAAGCTGCTGGCCAATCATTATTTTCTGCTTTTCACAACTTTAGTTCAAAACAACACTTTTCTATCTAGATCTCCTGTCTAGTTCCACACTTCAGTATTGCTACTCTAGTTTCATTTTTTCACTTCTCTATGCCATCTGAAAGAGAAAATTGTATGGTCCTTACTCCAGATAGAGCAGTGCTTGTTTCCTAAATAGACATGAATTGAAAATGCTAAAAGAAACAAATAAAAACCCCAGATATACAGCACATCAAATACAAAATGTAACATTTGAACTGATATACAGACATGAATCTATATACTGATACTTATAATTGCTAACAAGTCAGAAAAAACATCCAGAAAAGGAAAATCTTGTTAATAGAAGGCATGTACTGTGAAGAGATAAAATAGCATCCTAAGTGCTGCTCAACAGTCACTTTATAGTCATAGAGAAAGGACAACAATATGTATTATTTCCTTTTTCTACAGGGAAGGGAATTTTCAAGGGCTGGTGCTTGCTGGCCAGACATGTCTCCATCTGTCATAAATAACTTATGTGTATAGTAAGACATTTCTAGAAGACATTTACACCTGCCAGCTTTCTCCTGTGTGCTATTGTGATGACTTTTTGGGGAATAGAGGGCTTAAATTCACTGAGCACAAATCTATTCGGTTTAATATAAAACATAATCTTCTCTGAAATTCTGTGACCCTTGCTACTATGCTTTAAAAACACTGACTCCAGCATCCTGTTCACTCTAATTTCTCTCCCTTTTGTTCTAGGTATGTTTATGACAAGAACACTGTGTCATTATCTCAAAGTCTCTAATTCTTCTTGCCTACCTTGACTACATCCATTTCTGATACATTTCACCTCCTTAATGCCATGCCTGAGATGAATGGCTTTTTATTGATGTCTCTGGCTTGTATCATTCTAAGTACATTTTACTTGCTGCTCACTACTCTCTGTGGCTCCCCTGTCATAGCAAAGTGATCTTTCAGGAACTCTTGCTATTCAAGTGATTCATTTAAATCAAGAGGATTTGAAAGTGGAACATTATGTCATTCTTTCAACATTTGTTGGTTTCAGAGAAAGTGCTGTATGTTTCTCTCTGGTTTTCTTTTCTTGCAGACACCCAGAACTGGATGATCTCTACAGTCTTAATCTTTAATAGAAGCTTGTCAGATTTACTTTTAATGATGACTCTGTAACTATCCTGGGAAACCTCCCTTTGCCTTTCTCCCCAGATCTTCACAACCGTTGAAGTAATCTCTACTCTAAAGCATTCATCCCAGCTTCAAAACCTGCCATATGTGCTTGGGGAAGGCTTTGCAAGTTCAGGGAGTGCTAAGCACATGCTAAGGAGTGAAAGCTTGTTTTTACCACTGATCATGAGATATTGTAATACAGAATGAAACTTCTTTCAGATTTTTTACAATGATCTGTGCCACAACCCACTTAACATTAATTGTGGTGATCCTCAATCCGTACACTATGGTAGGCTTTAACAGAAGTAGTATTTAATTGCTCTGTAAGATTTCACAACATCTGAATGTGCAAACTACATCTGGAATAGAAGAATTTTATTTATTTGACTTCCCAGACTGACAAATTTCTTCTTTATAGTAGGAACACATATGAGTGAAAGGCATATTTCTTATACAACCCATCTGGGTTCTTATACAACCAGATATCTGGGTGTGTGGATAAATGGAAGGTAATGTGATCCTAAAGAGTCAGAAATAGTGACAGTTAATTCTCCTTCTCTCACCTATTTATTCCAATCATAAATTTGCTTCTTTTGGAGATCCCTTCTGTAGAAAAACAAACTAGTAATATTTATTGACCTTAAAACACACGACTGAGTCTCTGTCAGCACAAGTGCATAAATATACACCAGTCTGCCAGGAAAGTATTATAATGAATGGAAGGCAATGTTTTTGTTCTAATGAGACACAGAATCTCCATTTGCAGAGTGTAGCATTACTTCGGCTTCTGTTTCACAAACTCTAAAATGTGTTAGCATAAATATAAAAGTATTTAGGTTTTGGAATATACAAATTAGTGGTTACAACTATTTTACACCTTTCCATATGGATCATCAGTACAATACATTTTTCCCAAGAAAATACTATTCAAACACACTGCAGAGCGGCCTTAGATTGAATTAAGTGAACAACAAAAAATAATATGGAATAAAACTAGGCACTGGAACTAGTAATTAAAATATCCTAAAATAACTAAAAAATAAAGTCAAAATTAAAAAAAAAAGAGAGAGAGAAATGCTTCACTTTATTGTTGTTATCTTACTCTTTGCTCTTATTCTGCTTCATGGTGGCTGCATATAAATCATTATATAAATACATATGTGCCTTTTATCCTGAGTGACCAAGTCAATTCCTCCTTGTTTTCAGTTTAGGATGAGTAATATAATAGAGGTATTCTGTTTATTTCATCTGATAAAACATAGATTTGTGCCATAATGCATTGTCAGTGCACAGGACTAGGCTCTTATTCTCATAATGAGAAGAAAATCATGACCTGGTGTCGGTGTTACTGGTGCCCAGAATGTGGTTCAGACTGGTGCTGCTTTTTGAGGTGCAGGTACTTGAAACCCCTGGTGATGGTGTCAGTGGTGATTGTGCACAGGTGTTTGTACATGGGTGAATCCTCCTTTCTGGATCTGAGCTGTTGAACAGCACACACAGACTGCAGAGAGACTAATGAAGGCAGAGCAGGCAAGTTACAAGCCAAGAAATTTGGAAGGAAACAACAGTGGCCATTAGTGTCCATTCCCAGATGACAGCAACAGCAATATGCCCTTAGAAGCCAGTGCAAATCCTAAAAAGGTATTGGGGAAAATCCTTTCTGATGATTGTGAATATATTGTTCTAAACCCTATTCTAGAGATCTGTCACACAAAGAGTGCCAACAGAATAGAGGAAAAGGGAGCATTTCTAGAGGTTTTCACTATTGGAATATGACTTTCAGACCCATAATGAAGTCCTGTGAGGAAAGATTTTATTAGGCAGCTTTGTTAGTGCGATATGTCATATCCCAAGAAGTGTATGAAGAGGGAGGAAAGGCAAGTGCTGCTGCAAAAACTTAGGCAGATGATTTGTATTTTATTAAAAAATAATTCTTGGAGACTTCAGGCAGTAATGTGGATTACTGGGCTACCATGCTGTACTCACACACAAAATTATTAACAGATTTTTCTGAGACCGTGTGCCTTACAATAAGTCACAGTAAATAAAAGCCAAGGGTAGTATAAGTTACATGAGAAGATCCTCTTGGCTTAGCCATAAGTTTCCTATGATGGGAAAAAGCTAGAAAGATTGCTTTTGTTTGAGTCTTAGGAGGAGTGTTTATGATTATAAGAAGAGAGTGCTACTATGAAGAGCCTGGCTCAATTAATAAGACATACACACAGATGTGAGGGATAATGGGGGTAAAAGCCTCATCACTTGCCTTGCAGGATGTAAATACACATACATGTTGAGATAACCATACTTATTCCCCCCTAAATATTATAAACCACTAAAAGCTTAAACATCTATAACTTGAGACTCCTCCCAAGTCCAACCAGTTATGTATAATTAGTCTGATGCCTCTACCCATGTGCAGGTATCAGGTATTTTTGTGCGGTCATGTAAAAGCTCTCCACATACAGCTTCTTCACAGGCCAGAGAACCTTTTTCTTTTATCCCAGTGTCAGTTATTGAGATGATTTATTTTTATTCTTTCATTCTTTAGTGAGAACAATCTAGAGTGTTACTGTATAAATACAGAGACAATAGAAAAAAAACTTCTTGGCCATTCAAGATGTAGATTTAGACAAGAAGTAATTTTTACCAGCTCTGCAGATTTTATAATATGACTGCATTTTCCTATTATATGATTCTTGTTTACATAATAACATCACTATGCAGAGATGTCTCTTTCAAATCATAAGCCTCTTAGTAGTAGTCTGATTTCTTGACATAGCAGTTGATAAAACAAGGGCACAGACTGGTATCTGTGAGTTTCAGGAACACAAGAGTATTTGTCACTAAAATATTAATAATCTTGTAAAGCTGACAGATATGAGACTTTTCCAAGTCATAAGAGTATGGAAAATAAAGGTACAGATGAAGTGAAAACAGATTTGTGGCATCCTTTATCATCACACTTAGGGGAACCTATAAAATGATAGTAAAAAGCAAGCAGTACTTCACTCAGTCCCCCCCAAAATTCTAGTGCAGCAGTAAAATGGTGTATGTCAGTAATAAAAATAAAATGTCTATGACATTTTAAATGTTATCGTACTGTCACAGTAGAATAAAATTAGCTTGAAGAATGATCTAAAGGGATATGATGCAGTTCATTATGTATAACAGCAATAGCAGCAGTTTCCCAGTGTTCATAAAGGTTTCTCCATTAAATTTACCTCCAGTCAATAATTAGGAGTCCACAAATAAACCTAGGCAATTAAATCAATACTGCTGGGCAATTATGTTTCAAAGTCCTGGCTCAATGGCACAAAAAGACACTATATCAAACTGCAATATTAAGTGATCTGATGCAATTTTCCACTGAACGTTTACTCAGAAAAACAGAAAAGGGCAATCCTGCATCTTTGTTCAAGATGCAAATGGCTAGCACAGTTTGCCAACATGTAACACTTAGCAGGCAGTCGGTTATGAGCAAAACCCTGCAGAAAGCTTACATTTCACCACGGGCTTCAGTTTGCTGATCAGAAATATTACCAAATCTTACTAGAAGAAACCACAACCAAACTCTGCAGGATGTGAGTAAAGCATTTTAAAGGGCACAGAGCTGTTCCATGAGCTGCTCCCAAATACAGATGAAGAAATCTTAACTGTTTCCATCTACATGCCTTAGCATGGACAGAAATGAAAAGCAGAGCTGGCTGCTCCCCAAAACCACTATAATCCTCTTGCAATTCTAAAAATGGTCTGCTTGCCAAAAATTACTTCTACACTCAGTGTTTCTTCTGAGGAACCCCACAAGATGGAGCAAAAATCACAGAAAATTTCTATTAACTTGTACACAAATGTATGTGGCTAAGAACAATGAGGTCTTCTATCCTTATATAACATTTGTAATCTTAATATACCTGGTTTCATTCAACAATTCTTTCACTCTCCATGCTTTTTGCTGTCTGTCTATAGCAGATGAAGAAAAGTGATAAAATTCTGCTTAATATTTTTTAGCAATTTACCAAATAACAATGAAAAACAGAACAAGAAGTCTTCATTGTATTCCATGGATCTGATTCATGTTTTGGAGCCCATAATATGAACAGGATATTGAAATTTATATTTTTTTTTAAATTCTTAAAATGAAGGCAATTAAGTGAATATAAATAACTGTGCTTTTAATGCTGAGTTTCATGTAGCATTATGAGGTTTAATTAAAATGCCAGTTTTTTTGACAAAGCCAGTAAAAGCACACTGATATTTCTATCTCCTCTGCTGCAGCAATTAAGCAGTCCTCACGGTAGTAAGTTTTGATAATGAAAGGAAAACCTGTCATTTTTTAAAAATCTGGTCACAGGATACAATCTCAACACAAAAGTTACTGATGGTTAAATACATAAATCTGATGTGTGTGCTTCTTTAAAACAGCTTTCAAAATATTTTCAATCATTGACATTCTTAACTGATACCAACTACATCACTAATGGACCCATGCTAGTGAATATGCATTATGCACTGGATTTACAAATCAAGTGTTATTTCTTTCAAGACATCAACTGCCCGTCATTTAAATAAAAGAGAAAACTAAAAATGTAGCAGAAAAGTTTTAAGAGTCAGGGTATGTTGTCAGTGATGTCCAAACAAAAGCTGACTATGGGTAGAAAAGCTGGGCTCTCACCTGCCAATAAACTGCCCTTGATCACTTACAAGAGGGGAGCATCCCAGCAGACTCTGTGTGTATTAAAAAAAAAGACTTGAAAGAGAAGAAAAAGTATCACACAGGTCACAGCAGCAGTCTCAATGGACCCCTCAGGGATTTCTGCTAGTCTCAGACTTGTCATCCTCTATGCAGCTTTCCTCTCTGCCCAGAAAATGTCGATAGGAAAATGTTTGAGGGGCCTCTGGTGGAAATTTTTTCATTCTTTCTGCATTGACAGGATGCCAAATCAATATTTACTTCCCACTAACAAGCTGCTCGAGGTCTCAGTAGAAAATATTGTAGAGAATGCGAGAAGACACGATAATAAACAGCTGTCTGGCTATGAGGAAAACATGAATTGACTGGAAACAGGTCCACAGTAAAAGGTCACAGAAACCCATGAACTCCTCAGGTGTCCATAACAACTAGTAACTTTAAAGGCACATAAAAAAAAGTCTCTTTTTCCTAAGAGGTATGAGAGAACAGATCATTTTCACTCTAGCAAGCATTATACAGTGTTTCAAAAATTCAATTAACACATTTGCCAGAATCTGCACTGGTTTTCGCCAGCATTGTTTTACTGGTTATGTTAGCTTAAGTTAGCTGTTAAATTAGCTATCACAAATCCTTGATTAACATATCTTGAGTTTTACACAGTAACTCTGATTTTAAGAGAAATACAAAGGGAATGCTACAAAACAAGGATTTCACATTGCTCATCACAGTATACTTTGAGACCATCAACAGCACCATAATTACAAATACAATGTATTAATTACAACCTAAAATGTTGTAGCTAATCAGAGCAGAAAATTATAATTCATTTTGGGATTATATAAATTGAGCACCTGTGCTTCAAGAAGTTTCTGTATGCGCTGTAGCCATTTTTTATTTTTTTCAAATTCCATTTTTCCATTTCTGCTGTTTCCTAAAAACATAAAAACATTAGGAGCAATAAAGGAAATGTGTAACTGGCGTGTGGAAGTCGGAATCACATTTGCAAAATTAGTTATCTGAAGCATGCTCATCAAGTATCAGTGCTCTATTAAATTTTTAAACCTACCCTTGTCTGTGCATGTCTCTAGAAATGTGCATAGCATGTTCTTTTCATATGAATATACTGGTGTATGTGTGATCTATGTCTAAATTTTATGAGTTCTAGATAAAGGTGCCTAAGCCTATGCACTGACAGATAGAATATGTAGTGTATATGTAGTGTAAATTCATCTCCTGTCTAATAAATTTGTTTTATATTTATAGTTAAGTATGTTTATGTGTTTTACACATATATTCACAGTGACTATAATAAAAAGATACAGGATGTAGAAATTACTCTGAGAATGAGATAAGCATGGAAAAACTCTGTCAAAGTGAATCACTTTATAGGGTTGTATAAATGTTAGTAAACAGGGCAGGGATCAGCCCATTTTATTTGTATTCATGAGTGTAATCCCTATCAGTGCATATACATACCACGCACTGTTGTTTCACCAACAGGAAAGCTTCCATTTTGTGGCCTCTTCAATATAAAACTCCAACAAGGCTAAATCTAAGTCATCACCAGAGTACTCTTACAGGCCAATAATGGCCAGCTCCTAGACACTTGCTAAGGTACCTGCACAGGATTTTCATATATTATTGGATCAGTACTAAATAAATCTGGATAAGAAATCTCATCACTGCATCTATTTAATAGAGTGATTTGATGAAACACTATCAAATATTTCATAGCAAAACATATGATGGAATCAACAAAAAAGGCTATGAATTCACCCAGAAACCATCTGTCTACCAGAAATACCTGTAATAGGTATCACAATTCAGAGAGGAAGTATCAACAAAATCAATCTGGCACAGCAAGATATATATTCTAATTCTGCTTCCTTTAATGCTGAAGTCTATTTAAAACATACAATCATGCCAAATAGCCTCACAAAAGAGGAAAACACTGAATAACATCTCTACATATATATGCTCAAAGCAGTTATGCGTATATTTATGTATGCTCTAAGTCTTGCCACCTTACAAATCTCTAACCTTACCTTTTATTTAGATTAAACCCTTCTTGATTTCTGTACTGTATCTTGCACAATGAAATTTCAGTCTTTACCTGCAAATCCTTTTCTTCAAGGAGGGATATAGTCAGCATCTCCTCATCTACGCCTTTTTTACTGAAGTCCTTAAAATAACTTACGTCATCATCTCCTTCTGGTAGTATTTCATAAAGATCAGTTGTTGAAACATTAAGGATAGATGCTAATTGAATACTCTCTTGGAAAAGACACTTTTTGCATGCTTTCATTTCTCCCATTTTTTTGCCAGTTTAACTTCTGTTCTCAGCTATTGTACACTTTGCTGTAACTCTCTGGTTAGTGTCTAGAAGGCATAAGCAAAAAAATACTGTCATATTTTAATAGTGCAAATAAGATGGAAAAACAGTATCATTTAGACTAAGCTCCTTTAGATGGGAATTATCTTCATTCTGTGTTATTTGTTCAACAGGATATGTGCTGGAATTATTTGTTCAATAGGATATGTTCTGGAATATTAAATAACGTGCTACTTAGAACAAAAAATATTAATTAATACAGTAAACCAAAAAATGTTCTTAAATGTACATACTGTTTTGGTATGTCTTTAGTAAAGTAATTATTCTTATAATGCCATCATTAGTAAGAAAAGGCAACTTCCACAGAATCAAAATCCTTTTCTGTAGTCTAACAGAAATGTTCTTGAAATAAGAACATAAGTGTCAGGCTTCATTGTGGTCAAATAGGGATTTTGTTTTTTTAAAGCTTATTGATATTCTCTGCTTGCAGAAGCACCAGTACACCCCTTTATTCAAAATCTGAAATTTGTTTCCCACCAGGAGAGAGTTATTCAAAATTGTTCTGGCTACCAAGTTCCTATCTTACCTATTTCTTAAATTCTTTGGGTCAATGAAATTACACTAAGCATCAGCGTAATTAATCACTTTTATAAATGAAGCAATTTTGGTTTAATATTTATGTAACTATGACCAAAAGATTTCATCAAAAGCTGAGCAAGACAATTTTATTTAAAAATTGTTGACTAAGAAACAAGAGTACTAATCCATTTTCAGAAGATCCTCCTAAAATATTCAACTGCCATGACTCAAGTAGAGCCATGATGGTCAACACAAACACCTTGGCTGAGCTGAAAATGAGCAAAGAAGATTTTCTTTTGATCGTCCTAGTGAATCTCATTTTATTAAGATACATCTCAATAGTAGCTGATCAGATCCTCAAAATTTGTATCATACAGCATACCTTCATCTCATAAAAACTGACTACAGGATAATGAAGCCTGTTTACTGGCATTTTGGGTAAAGTATTTTACAGCCTCTAGTGTATTTGAAACAGTCATTAGAGAGTATTTGCTAATACGTTTCAACAAAGGCGCATCCAATTCCAAGATTTTTTCTTCCTACCACTTCCCAACTTAACATTTTTCTGTACTTAATAAAATTTAATTACTAAAAATAAAAACATCCTGCCACAAATCTGGGGAGAGAAGGTACAGTGAAATTTGTCCAGTTTTCTTATTCAAGTGTGGGTCCCTTCATCCACAGAATTTCCAACAAACTGTTTTGGACATAAACCTATCTGCAAGGGCAGAGCTGAGAGGAATGAAGAAACTTGAAGTGTAATGGGCAGGGACCTAGGGCAACTAGAACTAAGCTCATAGAAGGAAATAGACTAAGAGACGAGGGAGCCCCCCCAAAAAAGCACACACTATGAAAAAAAATACAGTTAAATTGCATGTTTTTGTAGCATTTGAAATGGTCTAAGAGTAAATTTGCTCTTGCAACATATAGGAGATGCATTTGACAATGGAAAAATAAGTTCAGCCACACTTAATCAATCAAATTGAATCAGCTTCCCATGTTTTAAAAAGACATCTCTCTCAGGCATAACTGGTCACTCTAGAAGATGCACATGTGTAACCTGATGCAAAGAGAAAATGTAAATTAAAGGAGCAAAATAGCAAAAAAATTACCCGCAAAGCCACTTGGAAAGGCTACACAAAACAACAAAAACCAAAACCAAAAACAGACAAAAAATAATAAACAATTTTAAACATTCATTTGAATGCCTTAGAAAACACAGAAACATTTCCAGGCAACAGTCATTTGACATTATTACATAAATATTATTGGTGTATCCAAATTCCTAAAGAAGTTAATGATGAATGAACAAGCTGATAGCAACAGTGGAACTCAGAAACTGCAACTCCCGTGTGATTGGCTTTTAGCCCATGGTTCCAGAAATGAAGGTGCCAGAAAGAAAGGTATCAGAAAGACATGGAAGAATCTATAGCATCAAATTTTTAAAAAGGAATAAAAAATTAAAAAAAAAAAATTAAGAGAAGAATAAAGAAAAAGCAAGTTTAAACAAAAATCATTGAAAGAGAAAATTACAACAAATAGATTTTAATATGCAAGTATATACTTTATATATAATCACAGCAAATCATTCATATGGAGGACTTGCATTTCAATTTCTCTGTCCCTTGAGCAGTTCAAATACACTAAAGCATATGCAAAGCACAAAGCATATGTGAAAAATAAGGCTACTTTATGGACTTTAAAACTGGACTCTGAGAGACTAGCTATTTTTGAACCTCCCTCCTTCATGTTATTGATATAATGTTTTGATATATATTTTATCACTAAATAAGTGCCTTGAAATTTATAGTCTTCCTATGATTTTAAGTTGCTTTTTCTTCTGTTATTTTCTCATCCATCATATGCTAATGTATTCATGTGCTAAATTGTTTACTTATTAGTGATTTAATTTATATGTCAGTTCATGCATCAATACAGATATGCTCAGTCTCAAGCCATACAGCTTTTAGAAACTGAAAGACCCATTTCCAAACTCAAAAGTACAGACTCAAGAGTTAAACAACCCAGGTTTTGCTGATGAGTGTACTGAAGGCAGTATAACATTGTTCTGTGATTAAGAATTTGATCCAATGCATTGTGGAGCTAGGTGTAGGATTTTGAACGAAAACATTTCCCTCTGTGTATTACAAAATTGTTTATTTTTAAACTAATAAGCATACATAGGTGATGCAAGCCCCCTAAAATGAAATCAGTGCAGCACATGACTTCTGTACTATACTGATTTATAACAATGCCTTTATTAGTACCAGTAACACTAGGATTTGAGATTTTATCTTTCTTTTTTTTCTTTTGCCATCAATGCATAGGATATTTTGTTAGGAAAGCCATTTTCCTAACTCAGATGTTACTATCACAGTTAGTCCTGCGGGACACACTTTGCTGCTACCAGCCAACTAGAATAGGAATTCTTGATTAATTCCTGAAACGAATCTATACCACTTCTTGTCAGACCAGTGCAACTACTCCTGATCTGACAAGAAAAAAAGAAGCTTAAAATTCTAACAAAATTACCTTAAAGTTCCTAGTCCTTTTAATCATTACAATTGTTCAGTTACCAACCAACTCCATATCTTTCCTATAATAAACATTACAGATGTTGGGTTACAAATAATTCTGAGATATCTCCATTACAAACCTTTTTACTTTATTGTCACTTCCTCAAATACTCATTCTTAAGAATATATTGTTCTCAAATTTGGCCTCAGCATGTAATCACTTCTTAGCACTGCATCTTTTGCCAGTTTTGAGATGTATAAAGACAAAGGTCTTCTTTCAATTAGAAGGTCATATTTAATTAAACACTCAAAGAAGCCTTGGTGGCACAAAGAACCCTGACAGCACACTATTAATAAGGCCTTCGCATCCCAAAACAGTGACACTCACACTGACACTCGTTGATCCTGGAATTAACACAATTTGATCAATGGCCTTAAGTAATGTTGTATGACCAAGGCAATGCCAAAAATTTTTCCTGTAATTACCATGTTAATTTATATACTATTATTGTTTGTAGCATAATAAAACTTAATGGTCCCAAGATGATTTCTGACACTAGCTAGCGCTGTACCTATGTATAGCCAGATTTCAGTCCTGCACTGGTGCAGATCTCATGTCAGAGGCCATGGCTCATGAGTCATGGATAATTTCAAGCTTTACTCTATTTTGTACTATAGTAATAAGAGTGTGCTGCATCTGGCTGAGATCACAGAATCATCAAAGTTGGAAGGGACCTTCAGCATCACCTAGTCTTCAACCACAGTGGCCAAATTAAGGTTCAGTTTAGCTTTGGCCCTTCTAATTTTCTCCCCACATACTTGACAACATCTTTGTATTTCCCCCAAAATTACCTGTTCATCTTTCCAGAGATGCTACACTCGAACTTTTTGTCACAAGTTTGAGCCTAAGGTCTCTGTTAAACCAGTATTTTTCCTGCTGGCTTCCTCCAGCACAAATGGAGATGTAGTTAATTGTCTTCCAACAGCTTCTAAGGTGCAGTGTTTGGGATTTGTAACTAAATCAGCGCTGCTAACATACCAGCCATTGCTAAGTAGCGCTGGCACAGTGTCAGGGTCTCCTGTTTCTCATGCTGCCACCTCAGCAAGTGGGCTTGGGATGCAGAAAACGTAGAGAGAGAACGCAGCTGGGATGGACAACTGGTCCCAAATGACCAAATGGGCATTTCCCACATACACCATGTAACAGTGAAATCTAAGGTAGATGGTGATTTGTCTGCTCAGAGACTGGCTAGGTATTGATCTATGTTCCTTGGGGGATTTATTCTCCTGTTTTTCCTTCATTAAACTGTCCTTACCAACACACAAGTACACAGGTTTTCTCACTTTTTCTCATTCTGTTCTTTCCCCAGTCCTACTGGGGCAAGTGAGCAGCCCCTGTCAACAAAGAACTGTGTGGTGTTTAGCTGCTGGCTAACCAATACAGCTGCTAGTCAACCAACCACAAATGCATAGAAGAATATAATATACAGAACTATTTTATATGTAGCATTGCGTGTGTAGTTCAATATGGAGATGTCCTTAGATACAAGAAATATGTTCTTAGAAACTCACTTGTTTTGCACATTAGAAAAGTATATGGATGTGGTTCAAAGCATTAAACCAAAAACGAAGTGGAAAACCTTTTCTGAAAAAAGGTTAGTTTCCTAAAAAGTCAAAAGCATTATGAAGATGTCTGTGAATAATAAGAGAAATTTCAGAGAACTGAACACTGAGCTCAAAGAACTACTTTTGTGGTAGAATATTTATTGCTGGCCGAAAGTTGGGCCAAATCCTAATGCTGCAAAAAGGCTGGCAAATATTACAAGCCCAAATGCCTCATAATCAACAAAACAAAACAGAATGAATTGACAAAATTACACAAAGAGATTAGGTCATAAACCATTTCAGCAGCTGAAATAAGCATTAAATGAAAGTAACGTTATTTGTCCCTT